AACCCACTAGCCCCACTCAATCCACCCAAAATCGAAGCAGCACCCACGGACCTCTCAATCGATTTTGGCCCACCAACAATTGGAACGATCAGCATAACCATCAGGCAAATCAAGAGCGGCAAAGCAGCAGGGTTAGACAACATTCCGGCAGAGGCACCGAGAAAGAATGTACCAGTGACTGCATAGATACTTCACATTCTCTTCAGTAAGATTTGGAATGAAGAACAAGTACCAATAGACTGAAAAGAAGGACTTCTGATCAAGATACCAAAGAAAGGCGATCTCAGCAAGTGTGATAACTACAGGGGAATCACTCTTTTTTTAATACCAGGAAAAGTTTTACACATGTATTGTTAAGCAGAATGAGGGACTCCGTAGATGCCCAACTTTAAGATCAATACGCTGGATTCCTTAAGGATCCATCGTGTACAGACCAAATCACAACTCTACGGATCACTGTGGAACAATCAATTGAATGGAATTCATCACTCTACATCAACTTCATCGACTACGAGAAAGCATTTGATAATATGGACAGGACAAAACTATGGAGGCGTCTTCGACACTTTGGCGTGCCTGTGAAGATAGTCAATATCATACGGAACTCCTATGATGGACTAAACTGCAAAGTCGTGCATGGAGGACAACTCACTGATTCGTTCGAGGTAAAGACCAATGTCAGGCAAGGTTGCTCACCCTAACTCTTTCTCCTGGTGATCGACTGGATTATGAAGACGTCAACATCTGGGGGGAAGCACAAGATACAATGGACAGCTAGGATGTAAGTGGACGATCTAAACTTCACAGATTATCTGGCTCTTCTATCACACACGCAACAACAAATGCAGGAGAAGACGACCAATGTAACAGCAGCCTCAGCAACAATAGGTCTCAACATGCATGAAGAGAAAAGCAAGATTCTCCGATACAATACAACATGCACTAATCGAACCACAATTGATGGAAAAGCTTTTGAGGATGTAAAAACCTATACATATATGGACAGCATCATTGATGAACACAGTGAATCTGATGCAGATGTGACGGCGTGGATCAGCAAAGCAAGAGCAGTATATGTACAATTCAAGAACATCTAGAACTAAAAACAACTGTCTGTCAACCAACATCAAGATCAAAATTTTCAATACAAATGTCATGACAGTTTAATTGTATGTGACGGAAACTTGGAGAACTACGGAAGCCATCATCCAGAAGGTACAAATGTTTATTATCAGTTGTCTACGCAAGATACTTCGGATTCGATGGCCAGACATTATCAGCAACATTCTACTGCGGGAGATAACAAACCAGATTCCAGCAGAGGAAGGGCTGGAAGTGGATAAAACACACATTGAGGAAAGTAGCCAACTGAGTCATAAGACACGCCCTCACATGGAACCCTCAAGGCATAATGAGAAGAGGAATATCAAAGAACACATTACACCTAGAAATGGAGACAGACATGAGAAGAATGAACAACAACTAAATAGAACTAGAAAGGATGGCCCGTGAAAGAGTGGGTTTGAGAATGCTGTTCGGCGGCCTATGCTCTATTGGGAGTAACAGGTGTAAGTAAGTAAAGTAAGTAAGATTCGGTCTTCGATAGCTTATGTCAAATAGAGTTACAGTCAAAAAGTGATCTCAGCTTAGGGTTCTTTTTGGTAGCTCAAACCACGTGTGAGTTTACTTTCAACTTCAAAGTACGCCCTAACAATAGTGGTTCATCTTTATTTTGGACCACTTGTAATTTAATTTTTTAGGAAGTCAGAATCCCTTAATAAATTTTAAGTGAGTGGTAGCTCGCGATCATACATAAATAAGGTTCAAATTTTTCATTGCATACCGCTCCTAACCTTTGTGTGTTTCTATCACTGTATGTTTACCTCTCTGTTAACAAAATCACGCAAAGTACAAAGATATGTCGTTACTTCACAGCTATTTTCAAATGGATTTCAAGATACCTGTATATCAATCGGCTACTGAGATTTAGTCGGTTTCCGTAAATTCGATATTTGTAAATGTGGAGATAGCTCACAGACACATCTCTTTAAAACACTAATGTCGTCAACTTCTTTTAACGCCCTGACTGCAAAGCGAGTTAAACCAGACTTCTAGTATGATGGGCTGCCAAGATGTATTTGAATAATAGGTTGATGTTGTAAGATCCAAACCTAGTTTCCAACTACGTTTGATTTGTTGAATAACTGACGAGTAAAATTAGAGACGCTCACCCCCCAATATAAATCAGAACAAAGTGTTTTGGGGGTAATAACGGTTCTAAATTTCATCATATATACAAATGTACAAATTTACCTAAACAAATATTACCACCCAGTTATTCAACCGACAATTGATACCAAAATATTCGATCTAAATTACAATGAATAGCAAAGTGGTAAGAAATATATGAAAATTACCGAAAACACCAAAAGGTGAGTGTTATTCTATCCTTTCTGGGTAGATCAAGTAGGATTCCGTTTGAGCGGCTGTTTTATAACACATGGTGTTTCAATATCTGGGAAGGTGCTCCAAATTACAACCAAAAATGCACTATCCCAATCAAAATCAAACCGCACAATCAAAGAGCGAGCAGTCAATACGGCAGCCGCCAGAATAATAACAATTAAAACAAACTAAATACAGTTCAGTAAGGAACATATAGACTCAATAAAAACGATAAGAAAACCAAGAAAATTAAACGTTACAGACTTAATTAGCATCAAAAAAGTTAACAATATATACAAATAAAGAACCACAAAGAACAAATCACAAATGTATGCATGGAGGGATTTTCACTTTCAAAATGGATCTAACAGAGGTATCCTAATGTTTAGAATCTGAGCTGGATAGTCATCATAGGCGATACTCAGTACTGCGAATCCAAACGGTGCTTGTTATCTTTGCTTAACTGAGCACCTTCATTTGAAGGTGTATCCATTCAAACTAGTAAGGTCAGCATCAATAACGAAGACTTAGAAAGCTATTTATTTTCGAGATTTATTTATCACTAAAACCGCATGGAATAACTCTGACAATGAATCCATTCCATCTGACGAACGGCTTACATATCATCGAATCGGTTCCTCATATTGTAACTTACTTCCACATGTTTTCTGAAATATCAATTTAATGTGGGAAATAAACTTTCTAAGTAATCGAATTATAAAAAGAGACCTTGCAGCATTCCGTTAGTCTATTTGTCTCATCCAGAAAAAGTCACAGTACCTCCCTAATCATTTACTATTGGAATTCGAGAGTGTGTTGAGGAGATAAAGAATCGATACCAAGATGCTTTACATTTAGTATCTAGTCTTCTTTATGGATTTCACTTAATAATCCTTGTTATCGGAAAAAATGTAGTTAACCAGAAACCTGACCTAAAAAGTGCACTGAATACCTCCTTCATGAAAAGTCACTCTGATGCTAATCCTTTCCTGGCTACATCTTTTGTCGATGAATTAGTCGGAGTATGAATAAAAACTGACTTACGTAAACCAAAGTTAACACAGAAGGCTAAGGATTTGGTGCCATATGAATAAATTATTATTCTATATTCAGATACCTCCTCGAATTCTTTTTCACCATATGAATCACAGATAATCTCAATTTTCAACAACCAACTTAACTTAATAATAATAATATATATATATATATATTCTGAAAATAATATTTACAGAATTCACACCAGTTTACAGGCATGATCAGATTGTTATAAAAATCAACATTTAATGTAGAGAGCAAACATGAAATATAAAAAAGTTTTATGTTTGCCGGTTTACTAATTGATAAATAGTTTATGTATGGCAGGCCAATGCAACATCAGGGAACTTGTCATTTTTTTCTTAAGTGGATAGCCTGATGTTCTGTAAGTTTATTTCTAGTGCCAAAGCGAGTTATTGATAATTATCTACAACGAGAGAAAGTAAGATTAAAGCAAAGAGCACGGAACAACAAAACAATGATAGCAAGTAAGAAGTTAAACACTTAAAGTTCCGATAATCTCACTTGTGGAGTAAGATACACTTGCATTTTCAGAGGAGCAAAAGGCATTAATTGAGCGAACAAACAATGGGAGAGAGTTTAACATAAGGATAGTTTGAGGTAAATTATACCAGAGCCTAGAAAACTTACAGGTAAAGTAATTCATATACAGAGAAGATCTAGAATATGTTTGTTTGGCTAAAGACAATGAATTACGAATGTCGTAATGTGAGGCTTTAGCGTATTGAATCGCCTGGCTGGATGTGAAGGAGAATTTTCTTTTAGTTACTCGTCCATTGTTAATATCATTTGAAGCTCCCAACCACATATTCATACACCAACATACAATGTTTCCTCATTTATGTTATAAATAATTAATTGCTTATTATAACGTCATACATTAACAGGGCATCTAGGAGGTCACAAGTTATAACAATTCACGACGGGGTAAAGTAAACCAACCAAAGTCAGCCTGTAATTGGTCCAAAATCAAGTAATTATTTTATGCAATCAGCATCCATAATTGTCGTTGATGTCCTTGAACGACATTGGTCATTAGTCATATAGTAATTTTCATAACTGTATGGATTCATACCGCAGAAGCTAAGATTGGTGTTCTCGAGTTAACTGGCTAGGCTAGGTAGAAAGCAAGAATGACAAGTACTCTAGACTACTTGTACGGGTTTCGTGTGTCATTGGTATGATCGATAAATCTCTGCTCTAATTGTCGGTATTATCACGTCATACACTAACAGGGCATCTAGGAGGTCACAAGTTATAACACATTGTTGTATCCCGAAGAGAATTGTGAATGGTAAATTTTGAGGACTATTTATGGACCATTATGATACGTATATTTCCTATTGTATAATTGTTAAATAACTAACCTAATCGTATTCGTGTTCCTCTTATCATTAGCTTTATTTTGACCTTTGAACTATTATTATACGATACTTGAGTTATTGTCAGTCTATTGATTACTTTCCCCCCTATTCACAGCCACATTTGGCCAATTATTTTACAAATGTTATTTTCAATTTTATGGTACGATGTAGTCTGTTTGATTGGTATATAAACCCATTATGTTTGTGAATAATGATTCATATTTCAGAGGCTGTTATTGGTGTTCTGATCTTAACTGACTGAGCTAGGCAGAAGCAGGACAGATTAGTACTCAAGACTGCTCATATGGTTTTCGTGTGTCACTGTCCCAATCGATAATTCGCTCCTCTCTGATTGACGGGGATCAGCACTTTCATATACTAAACATGGCACGTACACACTCATACGTTATAACACGCGTACATATATATATATAATAAAAGGATTTAAAACCAATAAATTAAGTAAAATCTGAAATAGCAAAAAGGGTAACAGGGTTTTAAATAGCAGTACATTGTTCATGTTAAATATTGAATAATTTCAAACAACAAAATATTGATTTTTTAAAGATAATAGTATCCTTTCAAATACTTTATACAAGTATTACTTATTATTATTATAATATATCAATAATGTTACATAAACAGTAATAGGTTATCTCTCTGTTTTTTTTCTTTTTTTTTGTTTTTTTCTTTTTTTTCTTCTTTAAATGCAGTAATAATTACATTCGAAATTCAATGTTGCATAATCATTAGTACAATTTCTTTTTGTTGACTTTTCATTTATCTTCTTTTATCAAAAGGGTTCATTCAATCATTCATTGTCATATATTATTAACAGAATCAAAAAATGAGAGGAAGATATTTCATTAACAGTATAATATCTTTTTTTCTTTTACCTATAAGGTTAACATTAGATTGATGTGGAAAAGAAGAAAAAAAAATGATATTTCATTGAACACTTTCAATATCACCGATTCTTTTCTATACTTAATGGTGGTAATAATGAAATAGGTTTTGGTAATTCTTCACAATATGTAATACATGGTAAACTATAACGTATTATATTTTGTGTATTATGATTATCAATAGTATTATAATTTTTTAATGGATTTGTTTTACGTCTTAATTCAGTTGTTCTAGAACATTGTGGTATATCAACATAATACATTGCACGATAATTTTCATTAGAATGTACAATGGATTGATTAAGTTTTGATTCAGAACCAAATGTTAAACGTAAACTAATTGGTATACGTTTATAATTTCTTTTTATTGATTTATTATTATTAGGATTATTGTTACCTTTTAATGGATCATGTTGGTGGTTTTGTTGACATTTTAAATCTTCAACGGAAGCTACTCGTGTTATACAAATCTCTTTATCAGTAGCAGCTATATTAAATGAAAATGGTGTTTCAGTTTCAATACAAATATCTTCATTAGATGCTACACGACCAAGTAATAATTTACATGGTGGTAATGTTTGTAATGGTAATGATTTATTAGGTTTAGATTGTTGTTGTTGTTCATTTGACTTTTGTATAGAGTTATTGGATAATTCAGATGGATTTGATTTTCTTTGTGAAGTAGTAGTATCAGTTAGATGAATGTTTAAAGAGTCATTAATTAAACTATCAATTTTGTTTAAATCTTTTTCTAAATTAGTAACAATAGGATAGTCCTGAAAGAGAGAATTTATAAAATTAAAGTTCAATTCTTGTGTATGATTGTTACCGGATTATTTAATATGATCATATTGTTTATGAACTAATATCCTACGATAGTTAGCAAACGTATATTGCTTTACGTTGTTGAGAGGATACTGTAAATTTAAGATGATAAGATACTTACAGTTGATTTCTTATTGACTTATATCATGTTTGGCTACCCGAATTAGTGCTGACTAAACTCTACAGATCAAGTTGCAATTTTGTCATTATTCTAAGTTACTCGACGTTGTATATATTATATTGAAACATTAGGTGATCACAGGAAGTCCTCGAGAAACGCTAGACCTAGGTTTCATGCTAATTTACACTTAACATGAACATGTACTCATAATATAAAGCAAATTCATGTTCCCTATTAGATCACAATTCATGTCACCTAGCTTCTCACTGTGAGATGATACTATTGAACTTTCGATCCACTATTGACTTTATGTAGGACTGAGATAATGACGATTGATTTGTCACTCAATAGTCATATTTTTCTAGTCTTTTAGTGCTGGCCGAATTCTATGGATTAAGTCGCGCAATGACCACCATTATAAATAACTAATTTTCCTTTCATAGTTGAAAGTGTGAGGGAATTGAAGCTAGACCACCATCGAAAACCTGGAAGCACTGGACGGCAGTTTCGTCTTATTGTGGGACTCCTCAGCATTGCGAATCCACGATCCCTCCTCACGAGATTCGAACCCAAGACCTACCAGTCTCGCACGCGAGCACTCCCTGGTCGCATAGCATTAATTGACTCACGCTTTCAACTATGAAAATACTAAATCTCCATAAAACCCCCTGTTTAAACCATTGAAAAGAGTCTAGTTAATAGAATTATAAACTATCGCTGTTAATTAGTTTACAAATGTTTTCTTCTTTTGTTTCATGTTTTACCTACATTTTATACTTGTTTTCTAGATAATGTTCACTTAATTATAATTTAAATAAACATTTCATTATAATGATAATTTGTGGAACCTGTCCACTTTAAAATAAATTTGCGTTTACGACTGATACTTTCAGGTTTTTGTACGTTAGGCCTCTTCAACAGTGACTACTTAGAACTAAAGCAAATATCACCAATGTCATTAGACGACTATTTCACATAGTATCACGAAACAACTATGTTTGATGATTTTTTACGATTAAATCTGACCCAATTTTGTGTAAAGATAATACCTTTGGCTTGAGATATGAAAGTATTTAGTGTTAATTGCCGATGAGTTTCAAACTAATAAAAAATAGTTGAAAGCATGAGTCAATTGAAGCTAGACCAACATGGAAAACCTGGAAGCACTGGAAGGCCGTTTCGTCCTATTATGGGACTCCTCAATCTCCACAAAACCCCTTCTGATAATAACAATAATAATAATAATAAATAGTTATCCTATGCTTCGTGGTTTGCTTTGTTTCGCCATTTGGCAAGCATATTTCAAAAGGCACTTTAACTGTATGTATTTCAAGATTAATTCACACCATTAGTATGTTGACTAATGATGGACTTTGTAACTACCAAACTAGCGACTGATTTATATACAAGTATAATAGTAACAAAAACTGAATATATATTCAAATTGTAAGTGGTGTTTCTGATTTCAGTAATCTAAATTGTTTATGGCAACTATTCAGTGAAGTGAAATTAATAATGTTTTATAGCTAGTGAACATAGCTAGAGATCATGTAATCACATCCAGTTGTTTATGGTCAATTAAAATTTAAAAAGAACATCATTATCATAATGTAAAGTTTAGCCCAATGAAGTTAATAGTAGTTGTTAGCAATAGCTTTTGTGAATTACAAAGAAGAAGTAACCATTGAGTAACCAATTACAAATCTGAATTCCCTTGACGTTACACTAAGCAGGCGAAGTGATGTCTCGTTAAGTAGAAGTGTGTATAGAAAAAGACCCTCTGCCTGCCAATATACTCACTTCTATAGCTTTACACCTATCAAATATAAGAGAAATTTGGTTAGATGCCGCACTAGTAGAACAGATACTAGTAGATACTTTAAGTCAGGAACTGGAATTCATCTATAACTCACTGACGAAGATCGGCTACCCTGCTGCGTTCATTAAAAACCACATGTATGATACAAGGAAGAAGTCGGAGATTTCAACTGTTCGAAAGAAACCCTTACACATGAAATTACAATTCAACGGGGATGTAGCTAGTGATACTCTGAAAGGTAGGTTAACGAAAGTAATTAGTAGGACATTCTACGCAGCCTATCTTGCATTGACTTTCTCTAGTCGACCAATGATGTCTACTCAAACGAAGGATAAGTTACCTGAGTTGGCCTCCTCCATGTGCATTTATAAGTTCAGCTGCTCCTGTGGAGATAGCTATATCGGGCGTACTACTAGGCAACTTAACCAACGAATGAGTGAATATCTACCAGCATGGTTTGGGAAGGGCCAGATAAAAACAATGCGCAGTTCTATCTTGGTACATCTAATTGATAGTGGTCATAATGTAGACAAATCGAAATAATTCCAAGTGATCTATCGCATACCTCCATCATTTCCCAACGGAGTTCGCTCCCGTCTACTTCATATGGCAGAAGCCATAGGAATTCGTACATTCCACCCCAATTTATGTGTACAGAAGAAATTCGTAATCCCCCTATCCCTTCCATGGCCGAACATAACAAATGACATCTGTAAATTTTATTTTTATTAATTTTAATTTTGTTATCATTTGTTATCATCATTTGTTTGTAGTTTTCTACCTCTTTCCGCTTGTATTCTTCACTATCTGATTACTTACATACTTCTTATTACGTAATGATTTTAATGTTTTATGATTACTATTCCAGTCTATTTACCCACGTTTGATCTCTTAATTCTCAATGTTTAATTATTGATAAGACTTTTATCGTAATTTATCATTCTTACTACTATCAGTACACCTGTCATCCTAGTATCAACTTGTCCTTTTAACTATTATGTGCGGTAATGTAATCTATGTCATAGTGATTATTGACTCAAATTGCCTTGATTGGTCAAACATTTTCACATAAATATTCATGTATATTAGAGTGAAACTTGACGACTATCTAATTGAAAACAATATTGTTCGCTTACATATGTTGTTCTAATTTTCACAATAGGAATCTTTAATTTCATTTAGTGTTGTTTGTTTGAATCTTCCCATCGATGTGTTAGGACTGCAACTGGTCAGTCTCTAATTGGCATATGTGCATACTGTGCGTATTGCCTCGATATAGCCTTAATTCACAAGCATGGTAAACAGAGATGGATGGTGGCTAGCAGTGGAATCCCAGAGTGAACATCAACTCTGAGATGCAGGAACATCCAGCTTATGAGTCCCAAATAGGACGAAACGCGCGTCCAAGATTCCACTGCTAGGAATCTTTAATATTCTAAAATTACAATTTGTATACTTTCGGTCAACATACTAACCATCTACTCATTATTTCTCAGACTAGTAACTCAAAAGAAATTATGTATACCATGTATAATATTTCCATGTAATTATTACTTATTTTTCAAACTAAATCAAATCGATTCACTTGGTATTGTTTGCAGTTGATCAGTCTCTTTTTGGCATATGTGCATCCAGTGCGGGACTGCCTTGATATTGCCTTAAGTAAGTCAATCAGTTAGCTGCAACTTAGGACCAGGCAAATACATGCATCGGTTCAAGTTGCAACACCTCATTTGCACAACAAGATGAACACCGAATTCATAGAAGTATTTACTTCAATGGTATATATAAAATAAATATTTTGCATAAGGATATAATACAGGAAGAAAGAAAGGTATAAAGCAATTCTAATGTCACCTTTCAAGGGGAAACAAAGAGTGCATACACGTACACCATTGTGATCGATTCTGAGACATGTCACACAGAAATCCAACCATTGGTTACGATAGTCGCGCAGATCTTAACCAAGTAGTCTGCACCTACCAGTTAGTGACTTCAAGGACTGATGCCACGTTTTGGTTTGGCCGCCCCTAAATCTCTTCCAATCATCCCCAACACTGGTCAGCATAGCGCACCGTGGTAGTTGATGTTTAGGCATACGTAACACATTGCCCAACCATCTCAGTCGATGAAGATTCATAACCACATCAACTGATTTACCATCATCCCGTAATACCCTGTGTCTAACCTCACTAATACATACCCGGTGATCCCAGCAGATGCTAGCAATATTTCCAAGACATCTGTGGTCAAATACTAGTAATTTACGAGTATCTTCTACTCCTAATGTCCACCTTTCGTAGCGGTAAAGTAGGGCAGAACGAACTGCCGCACAGTATACCTGTCCTTTTATTGACAGACCGATATCTCGCTTTCGCTTTAAGCCATAAATTTTATTAGCAAACATGCATAGTTCGATTCCCAGAGTGAACATCAACTTGGGGATGCAGGTACATCCAGCTGACGATTCCCAAATAGATCGAAACACACATCTTAGATTCTACTGTTAACCACTATTCATCTTTGCTATAATCAATGTCCATATTTTAGGTTAACTACATAAATTTTCTTTTTTATCCACAATGAAATCACTACCAATTTGAAAAAAAAAATCAAAATGGAAATTGTTTAAATTAAATCTTATACATTCTGTGCTTGAAATTTACATTTAGTACAGATTGTGTGTGTGTGTATATTGTGCTAAATAAACTTCTGTAAACAGAATGTAATAAATAATTATGATTTACTAATGTGATTAATTAATTAATAAGATTCAGTGTTTTGTTTTGTAGTGAAATGGTGCGTGTTTCAAATGAGCCTTACCATTTTTGTGAGCCTTCTGATCTGATACCCGATTTGGTCGTATTAATGATTGTTGTCAAAAAATATATATCTTGGTTATCCTTGTATGTAATACATGACTTAATCCGCATTGATGAATAATGGAGTTAAATAAGTCAAATATGAGAATGGATTTTGAATACATATGTTTTCTACAGTCATTGATCTGG